TTCCCCGCCACTGATGACTCTGCGGGTGTCCGACTGGGACTCGGCTGTCCTTCCCGGGGTCTGCGCTCGCCTTTACTTGGTCTCTGGCCGCATCTCTACGTGTTTCTCTGCGTCTTCTTGTCTCTGACTCTGGGTCTGTGCGCCCCGCCCCCGCTCCGCAGACGTGTCCCGGGCGGTGGAGCTCCTCGAGCGGCTCCAGCGTAGCGGGGAGCTGCCCCCGCAGAAGCTGCAGGCCCTCCAGAGAGTCCTGCAGAGCCGCTTCTGCTCAGCCATCCGGGAGGTGAGAGCAACGCAGCGCCGAGGCACGAGCGGGCGGCCGTAGTCCTCCTGGTCCCTCCGAGCCCGGGGACTACGTCTCCCAGCAGCGACCGGGGCGGCCCTCCTTGAGGTGCCGACGCTTCAGCTCAGGGGTTCTTTGGGAGTTGTAGTTTCCGCGGCCTCCCGGTTGCGGGGGCGGGGCGGATCCCTGGGTGGGCGGGTCTGTGGGCCTGGACTCCAGTGTTGAAGGGAGGAGGGGCCTGGCGGCTCCCTGAGGCTGCTGCGTCCTCACCAGGTATATGAGCAGCTCTATGACACGCTGGACATCACCGGCAGTGCTGAGATCCGGGCCCACGCCACAGCCAAGGTAGGCGTCCCCCACCCACCCCATTGCCCATGGTACCCACTGAACCACATGGGTTAGTTCAGTATCTTCCTAACGTCAGTCATTACTGATTTCTGATCCTCTTTTCTGAGTTTTGCCAAATCTACATACCATCCTTACTATTGTTTATAATTTATTTTAAGTAATCTCACATTTTTAGCTTAAATGTCATATAAAGGCATCTTTAACCACTACAATTGGAAACTAGTACTGCATGCCTGACTAGAAGATAGCCTTAAACATTCATACAATGAAAACAGTGAAGTAGCATTAAACACTGAAATCTTACCAAACTTATTAGATGCAAGTTCTTGCTGCTTCCTGCTCTCGGCTCTGTCCAGGCCTTGCTTTTCTCTTTAAAAAGGGATATTGGCAAGTGCTGAATATTCAGGACACCCTCATACCAAATGGAGAATTTCTCTTTGAGTCTGAAGTGTCCAAAGTGACTAAAAGGAACATACTATCACTACCAAGTCATCTTGTGTTGAATTGTAGCAGGCGCTCTGTGCTTGAGGAAAGCTGTCTGGCCTAAATCCCTCTCCCTGTTGCAGATTCTCCACCCTAGTCAGCCTGCCCATCATGGAGGGGCCCTCATTTCCTGAGGTTTTCTTTTTCCTAGGCCACGGTGGCCGCCTTCACAGCCAGTGAGGGCCATGCACATCCCAGGGTAGTGGAACTGCCCAAGACAGATGAGGGCCTGGGCTTCAATATTATGGGGGGCAAGGAGCAGAATTCGCCCATCTACATCTCCCGTGTCATCCCTGGAGGTGTGGCTGACCGGCACGGAGGCCTCAAGCGTGGGGACCAGCTGTTGTCAGTGAACGGTGTGGTGAGTAGGGGGCTGAAGCAGGGCTGGGATCCCAGTCTGTCTAAGGTAGCACAGTCCCTGTTTTTGACATTCATTCAAGGCACACTGACAGAGCACTGCCTCTGCGTCCAGCCCTATGCTGGGCATTACTGCAGATTCTGAGAGTAATTGACCTCAGCTCCTACATTCAAGGACTTCCCCTCTCTAGTGACAGAGATAGACTCTGACCAAAAGAGTTCTAAACCAGGAAGATAATAATGAGGAAGCACAAAGCATTGTGAGAGCCCAGATATGGCACCAGACTGCTGTAGATGTGGGAAGTTTTTGCAGTTGAAGGGACATTTGAGTTGGGTTTTGAAGGATGAGTAGGAGTTCTCCAGGCAAATAAGTTGAAGAAAGGTGTTACTGGCTGAAGATGTGATAGGTAGGGGCTGTGACTCTGCATTCCTATGAGCTGAGGAGAAAGGGCTTGGTTCTGATGGAGGACTGGGGCATGCAGGTAATTAAAATTGCTGTGGTTAGAGTAGATGGGGACACAGCTGGATAGGTGGTTGGGGCCAGCCATGCAGGGCCTCATTGCCAGCCTGAGAAGCTGGGACTTTGTCTCAAGGGTTCTGGGGACCCATGGAAGGGCTTTGAGTAGGGGAAGGGTAGGCTCAGCCTGGAGACCTAGAAAAACCTCTTTGGGACTCTGGAGGGGATGGACTGAGGGAAGAGACTGGAGGCCAAAAGGCCAAGGAGGAGGCTGGTAGGGTGAGAGTCCACAGGGGGAGAGAATGAGGCCTAAGCTGGGCCTGGTGGTGGGGACAAAGAAGAGGGAGTCTGGGCAGGAGGGATGGGGCTGGGGGCAAGGGATAAAGATATGGGCCTGGAGGTCTGGCTCAGTGACTGAAGGCTAACATGGGGCTTGTCCCTGACATGGGGAACTTAGAAGGTTTGGGGGAAGGACACTGAGCCAAGAGCTAGTGACTGTCCAATGAGGATGTGAGGCCTTGGCATCTTGGGGCAGGTACCAGTCTCACCAACTGTTGGTCCCATTTCCAGGGCTGGGGCTGGGTGAGGGTGGTGGGCCCCAGGCCCAGCTGTCTGTGCACCGCCCCTGCAGAGCGTTGAGGGTGAGCAGCATGAGAAGGCAGTGGAGCTGCTGAAGGCTGCCCAGGGCTCCGTGAAGCTGGTGGTGCGTTACACACCTCGGGTGCTGGAGGAGATGGAGGCCCGCTTTGAGAAGATGCGCTCTGCCCGCCGACGCCAACATCAGAGCTATTCGTGAGCCCTTTGCCACAGCACCCCTGGGGCCTCTGCTGCCTGCCTCCCTTATCCCCAGACTCCCCAAGCCAGGCCAATGACTTCTGAGACCTTGATTGCCACCCCTAGCCCTGCCTTCCCCTGGGATTCTGACCTTTGATCCAGGCCATTCTTTTACCCCAAGCCATTCTGCCTTAATACTTTGGGGGCTCCTAGCTCACTCCCATACCAAGATCGGGAACCTACTCTCTCAGGAATCCCTCAACCCACTTCCCTGGGCCCTTGGCTCTGGAACCCCAGCCCCAGCTCTCTCCCATGCCTCCTCCCCTCCTCTCCCCTGAGCCTGGCTTCCCTCTCTTTACCCTCGTTGCAGGTCCTTGGAGTCTCGAGGCTGAAACCACAGATCTGGACCCCCTCCCTAACCCCCTCCCCTGTACAGTATTTATTGTCACCAGCTCCTTATTTAAAGATCTTTAACCCTCACTGAGCGTCCGTGTCTGTCCAGCATTTGGGGTTTAGGGTGTCTGGAGATGTGGGGGAAGGAGAGAAGCTGAGGTCGAGACCAGACCCTGAAGAAGCCCTTTTAGAGTCTGACAGCAGAGGTAGAGACTTTTCCCCCAGGTCCAAAGGCAGAGGCTGTTCGAGCTTCCTAGTGACAGGTCCAAGGGTGGAGGTTGGGACCCAGCCTGGGTCGAAGTGCGGAGTCAGAGCTGAAGCCAACGCCCCCTACCCTTCAGAGATTCTGAGGGCGGAGGTCGAGCCCCCTTCCTCTGTAGATGGTCGGACGGAGGAGTCCTGAATCGCCGCGAGTCAGTGGGCGGCCTCTGTGTGGGCGGGGCGGAGCGAACCATTAGCCGGGTCCGCCGGGGGAGCCCTGCCGGCCATACAATCGTCCGCGTGGGAGGCAGGGGTGGGGGTGCCACGTGCAGTTCCCGAGGCGGGCGCAAGGGGTGCAGAATAAGGTGTACTCGTCGACCCGGTATTCACTCCACTTTCCAACCTGAGCGCGTGTCCCCAGGAGGCGCCCCCGCCTTA